AGCATTTGTTTAAATTCCGTTCCACGCTGTCAAATCGAATTGATCTGGTTCCGTGTTCTCCACCCTCTAGATTTATCAAGGTTGATGCCCGGGCCCTCCTCCTTCACCACATAAGACAGGCGATGTGTTACTCGGCTTGATCCGTGCCTTGATCATCGTCCACCTATGCACACACACCCATGTAGCATGAACAGATAATCACAGTCTTTAATATGAGGTTTTCGACCTCTTCATACTAATTTGTTGTTTTGGACGTGGGTTGTTTTGATGTGTTTTCGCCATGTTCTTTGATTTCACGCTCTTATTTCTGCCTTGAGTTGTGGTTGCGTTGGGAAGATGTCTTTTTGATGAAAGTGTAGATCATCGATCGTTGATCTTGACTTCTATTGTCTTCGATGAAGTATGTGGCATTGTTACATACTGACACCATGTTCGTGTATGAAAACATTGACTTAAGAAGTCTCTGAAGTTACCCCTGGGAACTCTTGAGAGATCCGCTTCCTGTCCCGATGCCACTGAATCTATGTTGTAACCATTATCAGAGACATTTCTATTGTATTTTAGTGGTGGAATTGTTGCGTAAGTATGTAAGTTCCATACTACATGTTTTCTCATTTTCAACTGACATATCTGTCACTTTGACTACCTGTCGTAAGCGGTCAACAACATGGTAACATCGATTATCGATAGACCCCAGTCATTCTTATACAGCTTTAAGTAATCAAATTATCTTAAAATCTAATAGATGTTGGGTACAAATATTCTTTAAGTTCTAACGAAATATTTTGTAACTCACCCTCCCCCACCCAACTTCTAAACACATCGTCTCAACAAAAGCAGTACTTAAATGGCTCAAAGGTGTCCGAGATTTGACGCAAGACTGACAGAGTTATTTAAATCAAAAAGATATATATGGGATATTTAACACGGATCACTGGACGCAATAGGTCTCCGGGCAGCGTGGTCATTTTACTCTTCATTTCCCCCATCATTAGAATCGTTTGACTTTTATATGCAACCTTCGGGCGAGTCATCAACTAAAGATTGTTTGTCTTTACGTTCCTCCTCTGTGTATTTAATAAGATCATATTATTTCCCATTGATGACCGATGATATATTTATGATCTCAATTTAATTTGTTTTAATTTTCTCACTTCCTACATGGGAACAGATTTTTTACAAACTGATGAGATAAAATTGAAATGATGGAGCGAGAAAGGAGGGTTACACGGCATAGAGGTAGTTATTAGTGATGCTATGCGAGTAAACTGTGTCATTTTTCGGGCAGTTGTCTTTGTGTCGTCGTGTTTTGCCGCGGGTAGCACTTCAGGGTAGTACCAGAGCTGTTGCCAAACCCGATACAGCTTATCAACCCCCTACCTACTATTTATCTCCCATTAAATAGACGCATCTAACTTTATCATCAACTCAATTGAAGAAAATTACAGCCTTTTTGACGTTATCCCAATTCACAATGATTTATTTTGAAATGAGTTGTTAAATTTTTTATGTATCGCTATTTCTCATATACTGTCATTAATGTCAACAATAAAATTGTTTTGGTTTATGTTACTGCAAAATAAACGATAAAATGTGAACATTTTGTGACTATTTGCCCATATTAACATACATAAACGTGTAGTAAAATAGTTTCTCAAAGCAAAACTAATAACGAAATGCTTCATATATTTTACCACGAAATTTGATTTGTTAAATACCCAAGATTGCTTAAAACTACTAGCCACAAGTAGCGCGTTGTTGTATTTGAGACAAAATCGAAGAAAATCTGGAATTTCACTTGCCAAATCGGTCGATTCTCGAAATATTGACAGAGACGGTAGGAACAACAATGTTTTGTTGCCCCCAAAGCTCTTAGTGTCTAATTCGGGAAATGGAGAACAAAAGCAATCCAATATTCTATCGAGCCGATGTCAAAATCAAAACATATTGGTCAACTCCATTACGTGGGAAGACCACAATTTTTCTGACTAGCGCCCAAGGCTCAGTCACTCACATCTGATAATAAACCATTGAATGATATGTTTTTACTAATATTTCCGCTATTCACACAATCATTTTTTAAGACAAACATATAATATCCAACGTGATTGATTATATGAAATGCCTTTTGCTCTTTTTCTCAGTAAAATTCCGAACGTAATCCATCTTCAGTCATTTTGGGTCATCTTATGAAACAAAAACCATCAATCATTAATTTTAGACTTATGGTGATTATTACATTGTGATACTCATATACTTGTATTTTTGATTTTAAGCAGTTCCAATTTCACATGCATAATCAACTCAGTTTTCAATACCAAAATTAACTTTTTATTGAATTGTTTTACCTGTTTACGTTGTTTTGTAAGAATATATTTTGTATTTGCAATATTTTGATAATTTTCAAAAGGTAACTAGAAATCTATTCGTACATGATCTTTTAAATTAATTTCCTAAAGGTTTCATCTATCGCCATCACCGGAAACAAAAGTAGAAGGAAATATCACTTGGTAATCATCAGGAGAAACACCCGAGAAACCATGGCCTTCGTTTTAGCTTATGTCTTGTTAGACGTAAATATGTGATATTACATACCCTGCGCGCAGAGTTTAGTTAAACTACGACGAAGCTCTCTTTTAAGAAGTGAAGTCAAACGAATGCAAAGGGTAGATATTGTATGTGATACGTATCAGAATGCTTGGTTATAGGCATTGAGCAGTTGATCTTAACTGGTCTATATTTTTAAGTTAAGGTCAACAATCATATTACATTGATCTAATGGTAAAAACAGTTATCAAACAAACAGAAATGTAAAAACTCTAAATGTAAATCTATATGTAACCATATGTACAAATGTAAATAATCTGTTAATGTGAATTGTCTGTAATTATATGTAATGTTTAAATCTTCACCTATGTGGAGGAAATAAAGACACTGAACTGAACTGAACTGAACATGTTTTCAAAAATGGTATACCTTTATAATGATGTTATGTGGTTTTAAATGTCGTGACAAAAGATATAATCGATCTAATACATGTAAGACCCTTATCACAGATACTGGTCGTACCTGGGGCCATTAAGCTCAATATATCATCATTCCCATAAGAAAAATTCGCGCGATTATTTATAAAGTGTTTCTTTTGAACTAAAACTACATTTTAGCATGATGTGTTGTCGTAACATGAGATAAAAGTAGTTGTTGACAACGTCCTTATGCTACCTTTGCATTTATCATGCAATAATGGTGCGAGTCAGACCGTTGTACACGTTTCAATAAAGGACATGTAAATGTAAAAAGGATGTGATTGTGACGATAGGCAGTTGACGTTTTTATCAGATCTAATGGCCACATCCCCGATGCGTAAGTTAGTCATCGCAAAATGTTACGTGATATGTTATCTTTTCATAAAGTGATTAAATTATGAGCATGTGCAAACAACTTTATTTTGCAGTCTTTGTTCTCCTCCCATATTTCACAAATGAATATTTCCAACCATCTTCAAAAATTGTTTTAGGTAAAAAAAATGGGGGTCAGGCCCGTAGCCAGATGACCCCCCCCCCCCCCCTGGCCAAAAGATCTTTCAAAATCATGCAGTTTTCACCATTCTGAGCACTTTTTAAGTGATTTTTGCCATTTTTGGACCAAAATTGTCACAAGTGAACCCCCCTGGAATTTTTCAAAAAGTGAACGCCCCTTGGCAAATCCTGGCTACGGGCCTGGGGGTATACAGTAATACTAGCATGATTTTGTTAAATATGGACACTTATAAACGTTTTGGCAAAATTAAGATGAAATACTGAGAACTCTTGATCTCTCCTTTTGCTAGTGTAGCTCGTAACCTCATTTTTGTTCTTCCAGTGTATTCGGTTTTCATCAAATATAATTTATTTGAAGTATGAAATATTTTATTTGAATCAAGGCGTTGTAATCTGATATACGATGGAAATGCTAAAATGGTGGAGTTCATTACTTCATTGCTCAAAATTAGCATTAGCTGTTGTGATGTCATGTTGTGCTAAAAATTAAGGTATAATAGTAAATAAAGTAAATAACCAAACATTACTCGTGATATTACTCGTACAACTTGTGTTTAAAAAAACAAACGAAAATCAAATAAATTGAGTTTTGTACATTTTTATTTATTGTACACTACACTAAAATCTACAAAATATAAATAGTCGACTGTAACGATCTTCATCGTTTCTATTTTACATCTTTTAACATATACAGTAAATACACTTCCCAGGCCAAATATGCAACGGTTTACAATCATCCACTTGAAATAAACATGAGATGTCTAACTTCAATGATGAGGCAAATCAAACAGAAATAAGTACACATCGTGAATCGATTGTTCAACTTTGCATCTTTGACTGAGTATTTATTTTACAGCACCTTTCACAAAATAACACACAAAAGTTGATGACATCAGCAGTTCGTGTGAACACATAGTAATGATATCATCAACTATGAGATACGACATTTGCATACAACATATTCAAAATCAAAATGATTTATTGCTGCACAGACACTTTATTCTTTATTGGCAAGAACGCTACAAGACTTCAGTTTTAACTTGTCTCCTGCGGCTATCCTTTAAACTAACCTAGAACCTTATTGTTTAAATCAATCCATATACGCTCGTGAAAATATGAAATGATAAAAATGAAATGGCAAGCTAATAATTTCAATTTTTGGTTCACAGAAACTTGACTAGAAGCTGACCAGCATTGTACTTGCGTTGTCACATTCACATATACATCTTAGCATAACGACACACCATTAGCAACATGTCAGATCAACGCGTTGATTATTCTCTATATCTGTTTTCCTATGAGAAGGCACTTCTGGCCGAAACAACATGATTTTCTACTTTAATAATCAGATAAAGATAAACATTCCCCGATATAAAACACTGACATGTATTGTGTCATCTTAACGTTTTACTATTGATTTCATGAAAGTGAGATTCATTCTTAGATCTACATAAATATTTACAACTTCACATCCTCTTTTTACTTCCTTCAATTTTCACAAATCGTTTCGTTGCCATGGTACCAACGGACAAGATTATTGCAAAAACTAGATTGCCTAACGCCATTTTGATTTAAGCTTGATTCTCATGGCTTACGTTGCACCCTCGATCTTTGTGAATGGAATGGTAAAGCTAAAAGACACGTGTTTATACAGCTAGCAATTTTATTGCTGCTGTTCAACACCGTTGCTATGGCAGCACGTTTCTATGGCAATGTATAACATTTTAAGTCTTAGTGCCGGCCAAGACACTTCAATTCCCTATCAGGAATGTCCACAACATAGTCAATTGCACCAGTGCAATCTTTGGTCTCAATAAAGACCGGGTGGTGACCTGCTATGGATCAGTAGTTGATTGCATCACCATGGTAACGCCTCTGCTCACTTCCGCTCATCACCCGGACTAAGTTCTGTTTTAGCTTTGTTATTAGAGTCCAGTTGAGTTGGTTGAGAGATCTGAGTGTTTTGCGTAGTATAGTTTTTGTCAAGGAATTTGAGCATTTCCGTGAGGTAATTTTGAATGGCAGTCATACCTGCGACTAGAGCTGGTGACCCGAAGCCGTGAGTAATTAAACTAAAATGCGTGAGGTGGCGCTGTATACTGGGGTCTAAGATTATCTGTGGTCTTGTATTTCCAAGCGGGGTACGGTCCTGGTTGAGCAGATCTGTTAGCTCCTTAATGATTTGCCTGGAAATACAAAAAAGATGGAATATTATTTAAAATATTTGGTTTTTATACTGTTATAATCATGATTATTTATTCAATTTATTTGATATAAATGTTGAAGTGAATCGATTATGGCCTGCTTTGCTTCATAGGAAAAAATGTACCGGAAGTGATAAATACAGTGATGGTTGATTCAAATGAGTCAGGATAAGAACAAAGGCTGGTAATGAATACCAAACATGTACACTAATACAAAATGTTAATTACGAACATCAAGGCATTTTATTCAAAATATACCGCCAACAAAATATAAATGTCACAAACTTGTGAGAAATGTTTATTGAGATGAGCACTAAGAGATACAATTCCTATCTCTCATCAATGTATTGAACACAAATAAATAAACAAACCGCACTCCCGGAAACTGTACAAAACTTTTGCGCCATGAATTGAAAAGTGCGACACAAGTTAATTAAAGTGTCTTATATATTAGGGAGAATATTTGACGTGAGCATCGAGGTTAAACTTCATGCGGATGAGCAAGCTGGCGACAAGTATGCGATCACCGCAGCTGTCACTCAACCAACCGTCAGCGCTAACAACTCATCCAAATGACAAATTGATAACGGCTAAATATTTTCATAAACAATGGGGACAAATGGGTACTTTTCAGCAGTTTTCTTATGAAAACAACCCTATTTAATTGAGACGTCTTCATTTTCCATCTCACTAATTCAATTTCACTCGGTATCAAAAGAAATGATTAACACAAAACAAGTTCTTGTAGAATTGGATGAAGCAGACGAGAGTACAACAGGTCAGATTCGCGCCAACAAGCCCAATTATGTCCGTTTTGTTATCTACCACTCGCCCAAATATAGCCAAAGAAAAATCTCTGAGAGAAAGCATAAAATATTTGTTGAGTTTTAATATCAGCAAATTGCCAAATATACATCAATCACTCCCAACTGCTTTTGTTCGTTTTTGACACGGTGCGCATTACGGTTTAGTTATTGTAATCACAGCCATTATCTTAACAAGGGGAACAAACTATAAAATTGAGAGGGGCTTGTTCTGGGTGATAAATTCACAAATAATCATCCATTATTTTCTTATTCTTCAATGACTTGAAGACAGGTATATTTCACAAACAAAGGAATCGTCATGGATTCCGGAGCCCTGTGTGGAGTCAATGGGATACAACTGATCATATAACACATACAAATCATGTAATCCTCTGCCCCAGGTACCATACGCGGTGGGTTTATTGAGAAAACATCATGACTTTGCCCCCAAATTGAGTATTTTGTTGGAAAATCATTAGCTTATTGGCGTATTACAAGAAAAGGTGGGAATATTCAAAGAACCGTGAAACAGTTTATCAAATTTACTGGCAATACTTCGGGCAAAATATCGCCCACATATGTATACTCAAACCTGAGAAATATATTCAAATACACATTGACCACCTTTGTTTTAGCCATAGGCGTACAAGAGGAGTAATGATCAACTCTATTTATTGATGTGAAAAAGGCGTTTGATTTTCCATATTGTTTTTCACAAGTTGACAGATTGGCGATTAGCAAAGGTCCCTTACTCGCCTCTGGTCTCTTGTAAAAGATGTAATTATTCTACACAGATCAACAAATATAATCTAGGGATTGGGGGCTTTTTTCTTTAATAACATTTATTATTTAATTGCTGGTCAAATAAATAGATTTACAACTAAAAAAAATAATGTTAGTGCTGAGCGTAGGCCCTTTGGCAAGTTATGACTAATATGTATTTTAATGGAAAAGAAGAGAAAAACGCATTTCTGCTCAATCACATTGCAAGTTCATGGGGATTAAATTGATTTCCATGTAATTCTCGATCCATTTAGCTTTGCAGATGGTTACACTTTAACTCTGATGTCGCTAACATGCTCTATTGCCGGTTCCCATGTTAAGAACTTTTGTTTTATCGGATATCTATTTTAGTACACAGTTGTCCCACACTTTATGTGTTTACCTCGCGCTAATATAAGAGTTCAACGGGAGGGGTATTTCATTATTTCTGCTCTACCACGTGGGAAATTATGAATGGCAACATTTCAAAGCAGACACCCATAAACCATTAACAATTAAAATATGTTTTACTTACTTTGCTGAAAGTATCATGTTCTTGCGCGTATGTACATCTGTGTGGTCGCTCTGTTGCCTTCCTACGTATTCAGCACATTGTCGGGAGGGGAACTCTGTCTCACACAAATAACCGAAATCTCGGGCCAACCTAATTGCTTCTCCTGAAATAATGAAAAAAGAAAAACGTTGCAGATCCAAATGAGTCGTAATTCATGAATTTAATAATAGATGGTGTTTCTACAAGTTTCGACTCGGACTAAGTTCTCAGATGAAGTATTTAAATGAATTAATACAATTGCAACCTTAAAGCTCCCATAAGTAAATTTACAAATTTAACAAATTTATTTGCATAGTTTCCCTTCTCAAATCAAGCATTCATGCTGAATAAACAGTCTGTGTTTGCTTGGATTTCTATTCCCCGCCTCCAAATTGCCGATGTATCAATCTAACAGGATCTGTAATAAATCTAGCGATTTTTCACATAAGAGAAGACATCGAGGCTGGAGGCTGACTATATTTTACATAGGACTTTACATAATTATACACATCATATTAATTTTTAAATATCACTTAATATCGTAAATGAAAATGAGGCCAAAAAAATATTTTTTGGTGCCAAGTTATAATAGAAATCCTTACAGATGTTTGGTAAGATGTATGGTTCATTTGACAGTGTGGCCTTATTCACTTTCTCGAAATATAGTATTTATCGAGGCAAACTGGGCAACCCTGTGGGGTCCCATCAATTTTGTTTAGATCCCCGTATTTCCCATAGACCACGATCTTGTAGGATAATATACTGACAGCTAACATCAACAACTCAAGCCTATCAAGCGTCTTTGATGTGTGTCATCTAATACATTGTTGTATGTACAAATGACACATGCATACAAGCTTGAAACAACTGCGAACAAGCTGAAAACACGCTCTAAACCCTATCTAATTACTGGGCTCTCAACAGGCCGTTTAGCACTCAGTGTAACCTCAGTGTCCGATAACACTACAACACTGACCAAAGGAACACCAGCGAATCAACACCAGACAACTTCAAACAAGAAGACAAATATTTCTTGATATAACAAAAGCGTGTGATGAATCTTGGAAGGTGTCTGCATGAGTCCCCCCCCCCATAAAAAGTACCACAACCTCGAATACTATAAATCTTGGAGTCTAGATGCCTGGAGGCAGGAACCATTGATGATATATAGTGCTACAATGATGTTATATGGGTAAGGGTTTCTGCAGAAACACAAGGCTGTTGACGTACACAATCCAGGGAACAACATATTGCTAAACATGTCACATATATCATGCTTAATTGGACAATACACACAAAATTAGGGAGACATGAGTCTGCGGATTTTTTGATTTTTTATTCTCCTCTTAGACTCATGTTTAGTGAAGTAACAAGGTGTATAAATATCATTGAATTACTGGCAGTTCTGGTGTCAAATACATACTGTTTCCTGAATAGCGTTTTAGTTGTTATCAATCTCATATCGAGACATCTAAACATGGTTTTGTTTTGATAAAGTTTTCTCAATAAGCATAACATCTATTTTGAAGCTCTATTTTGTATAAACACATAATCTTATTTCTTTTAGATTAAATAATTTCAAAAAAGTGACACATACATCAATTAGAAATGTGAAAATAAAATGTTCCTTACACAAATTCCGGTTAGCTATGATAGCATAGCTAATGTCTGTTGACATGTGAAGCAATTTGAACACATACGTTTTTATTTGTAATATGTATTGCAATTTTCTGATCCGTCAATTTCGGAATAAAACTCGTTAAAAAGCTACATTTGTGATAAACTTTACGTGTCAGCTTGCTAGACTCCTTGATTTACTCTTGAGAGAGGGAAATGAAACATCTCGTGCTCTAAAAAGGATACAATCCTTTTTATTTAGACAACCCCGCCTCTGTATCGAATTTATCGAGTTATTCTGTAATGTGAGCTGAAATATTGACGTTTGGGAAAGTGTCACTCTTGACTCTTACTAAGAAATAATTTGTTTTTCGTGGCCACAACGAAAATGTTTTCATTTTTTCACCCTAAGGGCCTCTCGGGTCCCAAAAGTGCATTATCGTATATTTTCACAATAATCCGTTTGTATACCCTGTCTATGTTTATCTGTATACTGAGTATAATGCATATATCAGTAAATTATCCAAAGAACAGCAGATGTTGATATGAAATTAATAACAAGGGAAAACTTATTTCATGTTAAAACAATATTATGGCATCTTTTTCTTCTGGCAGAATGACATTTTGATGTTAGTGTTCACTGTTCACGGTATATCATCTGCGTTCCATATATTTTGATGTATTGTTTGATTTATTCATAGATGTTGTTTGTTTTCCTTAGTAACAAATAGAAGTATTCATTGTTGAACTATTAATTATTGTGGACATGAATACATATTTCTTTGATGGCTGACTATATGTTGCAATCACAACAAAACGCTGTGTTAATTGGGTTACTTTTACAATATATACTATAATCGAAGTTACCAACTAGTTTTTGCAATGGTGATTAGACACGTGTATTGGGCTTAATTGACTATTCTATCCCAATGTTAAAGGCTACGTTGGAAAGTGAAACACAACAACAGATAACACTTTGACAAGACCTACATCAAGGGTCTAGCTTATCCAAGTGCTAGTTAAACACCTACAGATGATACTGTGTTAAATTGAACCAATACAAGGAACGCAGTGGGATGTTTTTCTAAGACATTTGATCAGGACCCCCGCTGGATTCATCACTGTTCTACTATCTCTGGTATGTCAAAACCTTTTTTACCAGGACGCCCAAAATCTGAAAGCTCCATAAGTATCAATTTTCCTCATTCCAAATTCTACCCAGAATTCAGAAGGTGATGGCTTAATCATTGCTTGGATCAAACAAAAGATTCTCTGGTCAACCTTCATATCTGAAGAATTTTGTTCTTCATTTTAGCATGTTCGTATTTTCGCCATCTTGAAGTGAAAGAAAACGCTAGTCACCAGGTCCATATTTTCATGATAGTCCCTGCTATTATATACAGATAATTGACCTGTAGGATGCTTACCTTCAACTAGAGATGTTAGTAGGGTGACTGTGGCAGCCTTTCGTCGTCCTGCAGGTAAACTCAGTCCTATCTTTTCCAACTTCTCCCTTAGAGACCGTCCACCATTCTTTGACTTTGCCCTGAAAATATCAATGATATAAAATACAGAACAATATTTATGAACAAAAGCAAGCAAATCATTAAATTGACAGGTAAAGAATATAATTAATATTTTCAAGTTTGTACTTTGTTCATTAAGTATGAAATTGTATCATTACAAATATCATGCTATGTCGGACTTGAGCCTCAATCAAAGGGTTAACTTATTGATAAAGCATTTCTAATAACATACGATCATATTTATATTTTGGTTTGGTTTGCAAAGGAGATTAAGGTTGAGATCAGCCTAGTCAAAGGGAGCACAAGGGTCCTAAAACCATGTTTGAAGTACGTATTAGTAAGCCATTACCCCTACTTTCAAAATTCGGGAAATAAGAATTGTTACTTTTATCCTGGACACTTAAGTTTAGAAAAGAATAATTGTGAAATGTAACAAGAAAAACAGACAAGAGACAAAGCTCATAGAAACGAAGAAATAAGTGCTGGATTTCGACTAAGGATGGGATAAGCCCCACTTGAACATGATCAAACCTTATTCCGTGCAATTCCTTATCAAATCATGTAGCTCTAAATGTGCATGTCCTTTCTCCAAACACGATTACCTTATACATTTTCGGATTGTTTTTTCGAGTTATTAACAACCAAAATTCATTTTCACGATCAGATAAATCATCTATATATTCCGATTTGAGAATTTCGTGTGTTGTCTTCCCTGCAAGTAAACGTCTGATGCTAAGAAGACAATTAGAAAGCATTTCACTAATTCTAAACACATTAATAGACCCATAGTGAATGAACGATTTGGCGGCTTCGTTTGAAATGGATATGAGCTGTAGAACGTACATGAAAGCCTATGAAAGCCTTTTCAAATAGCACTTTTCGTCTACTAAACAGCACATGTCATAATGAACCAACTGTTGAGGTTTTATAAAAGCTTACACTCTCGCTATCAAATACTACAACCCTCTCTGGACAAAGCCATCAATGAAAGACTCGCTGAAAATGCACTTAACAAACAAACCACCTTTACATGCCCTAAAATGGATCCCAATGAAAACACCAGGAATTCATTCTATACAATACAATTTCTATCAATTATATGCCGAAAATTAGAGATCAAACTTCAATTTAGTTAAACTATATGCTCATTTTGATATTATTTTACAATATTCCTTATTTTAATAAAATGAATACCGTTTAGTGTATGGCGAATTCAGCAGGGGGTGTTGGTTATTTCAATTGAAACAGACATGATTTCATGATCTTTGACTCAATGCTAATGAAAGAAAAACAACTACAATAAAAAGTAAAAAATATTGCATGACATAACATTCATTTTTTAACAGCACAGTTACATGGTTGTTATTTTTCAACAGTTACAATACGTTTCCATGTCAACCACATATGACAGTCCAATAATGTGGGCTCTAAATATTGCATGACATAACATTCATTTTTTAACAGCACAGTTACACGGTTGTTATTTTTCAACAGTTACAATACGTTTCCATGTCAACCACATATGACAGTCCAATAATGTGGGCTCTAAATAATGAATGCGTCTTCCTTTCCTGACAGAAGGGGCAAAAATTACAGGCCCTCGGGAAAAACTGGTTGATTAATTTCTTGATTACTGTGTATTCTTGACCCCATCAATATAACCACAGTCCTTTTATGATCGTATTTCTTACCAAAATGGAACTATACTTAGAAGCAAAAATGCCTTTGGGTCATTTTACCTCCGATTGAGACTCTAAGAAATGTTAGTATTCTAAAAGGATGGGTCCTTATGTCAGTAATGGACCGAGGTACGACACTCTCGATGTTAAATGATAAATCCCATCCAAAAGCCTCAAGATATAAACAAAACTGCCCGTGAAAATAAACGTGTTAACAAGGCCCCTTTGAAGAGCTGTAGGGCTAAGTAAACATTGAACAGGTTGTTTGGAGAGCTTCTGGCAAGACCACAGATAACTTCTAACCATGGAATGACTCTCTCTTGACCAGTTGTCCTCAAACTTCCTGTATGACCATCTTATATATTGCACCATTAGTAGCGCATCCTCCATATTGTACCATCTCACTATTAGCTCAATTTGTGAATGGTCTATCTGTTTAAGTCTAAAAGAGGGAGAATGGATGTGGTGGATGGGATGAAATATGAATGTATTGTAACCGAGATGAAGATATCCAACTGTTCTCTCTGAACAGAACTATGAATAAACTAAGAATCCAGAAAATATATGGTATTTATAACTGCAAACAACTTGATTATGAAGAAACTATTGAAACTCATCCAGATGTCTTTGTACCCAATCATTCTCAACATAAAGGCAAAAACCAATAACAAAATGTGAATAGCACTTCACAGTGGGTTCCAGCGGTATATTGTTGTACAGTTTAGATCACCTTTCATTGCTTGTGCAGCCAGGGAAATGAACAGATTCATTAAAAGTTGATACTACCCAGTTTTATCTTCTCTCTGTAGAATATTATATGGTGAACTGGTGTTACAGGCTGTAAATATACTTTAACAAGACTAGTCTAGTTCCAGACACCATGTTACAGACATACGACACCGCCAATACTTTCACTTTTTACCACCGTGTTATCTTATATCGCGGAGCTACATTGGCCAGAGTGAGGAGTGATTAAGAGCAAAGGCACGATAACAACAATTAACATAGAATTTATTGCTCCGTTATAGGTTCTTATCAGTCCAGCTCTACAAAGGTTGCTGATCCTTCCCTATGTCTATTATACTCCCTCGTTAACTTGTCCTGCTCAATTTTCAGGGGATTGCATTGAACCGTTTTACCCCTGTACTTTCATTTATGGCATTCTCTGGATTATTGAACATTTCGGACAGACGACCATTATTTTGTTTCAAATAGTTTTGGCTGACTGACTGGATAGGTAACCGGGTGGTTATACATCAAGCATGGGGGTTGTTTGTACATTTGTGTGCTTTTTCTATTGGTATTTATAGTGAATGTATTATAAAATCAATCTTGTCTCTGACACCTGCAATTCTAAGATTTGCTTAGTATCCAATTACGATATTTTGCTTTTGCATTTGGAAATGTATCGTTTCACTCTACAATTGGTAGATTAATAGCCGTATAGAATCATTGACTGTGGTTTTGAATTGCATTCTACAAACACATTCGTCCCTAAGACTTAAAATAACAAAGTTATTTAAACTTGATTGTCTGCTAAAGTGAACTCTAAATAAAACAGAGTTATATTGGTTTTCATTGTAGTTTCTTTGAACTTCAGCTAAACGAATATCGATAGAATAAAATTTTCTAAGTAAGACCATGTATATTTTTGGCCAGATCCGTCTTTTATTTTCTAGGCTGGGTTCTTTGATGTTCAGTATAGACTTAATAAATATGCTTTTGGTGATTCATGATTTGATAACACACACATTTTTCAGCTGATTTTAAAAAACTGCACTTTACCTCGAGTTTTCCGATAAATAGTTAATTGGGTATCTTAACATATTCATGAAAACCTGGGGGGGGGGCAAATTAAATCACAATAGCAAAACTCCGGAGGCCACATAAAATGACTTCAGAAAATGTTATAATTGTAAAATGTAAACTTACCGTCTTAGAACTCCTCCGAGTAAAGAAGCATTAAGGCATTCTGGGGGTGAAAGCCTCCTCTGCACTTCAGCAACTGTCACCTTGTATTTTGAGGTTGAACTGAGAAGGGATAGACGACCCGGAACTGAGCAGAACACGTCTGTGGGTGTTGCCATACCAGAGATAATCATGTCTTTATTCTCATGCTTGGGACGTATACCTGACAAAAACAACATAATATTTACAATAATTTGTTTAGAACTGTATAGCTAGTACCATAGTGCATTGTCTTGGTGATTTTGGGAATGGCGATTATCGCATGTTGTTATTATATTGAAATATTATCAAAGCAGATAATATTTGATAATTTTGTATCTATTGACTTTATGGACTACATAACTATAAACAATATAAAGTATCAGATTTTAAATCATTTTACTCATATTTTCGGACAGTATTTGATTTCCTTATAACAACTACTGACAATAAAAATAAAACTGGAGTTTTGAAGAAAAATAAGTAAAGTGGCATGTTTGGTGTCAGATTGAAATTGGACACATTTGGATTCAATAACAACTGAAATGTAGCAACTGCTGGCATGTTTTAATATCATTATATCGGGAAACCAATTGAAAAGACGATTGAAAGTAAATTTGAAGACAATGATAAAATAATATTTGTACTTAACACATCGAGACGCACAGTAACAAAAAGCATATCGACTTGAATATCGGGATTTCTCTCGACATTGATTTCTAAAGGTAATTTGACATTTATACAAAAGAATATATATCCAATTTGAAGGGAACAATCTCTGAGCAATGGATCAGTGCTACAAACCAATTAATAATTAACAATAATGTAAATAAAAAATATACAAGAGAGCTCTGAATTTGTATGCTATAAAGAAAATATAATGTTGTTCATTTTACACTAGATTGATCCAATTAGTTTATAATAATGTGATTTTTTCTTATATTTTGTCCTTTTCTGTTGATTTGTAATTTAATATAAGATAAGATATAATAGGTAAATAATATTGTCGTTCCGAAAACTTCAAAGAGGATCGAATGTAGTAGTGATAGGTGAAACCAAATAAATGTTGTCTCATAAGATCATATTTTTGGAAAACTTTGATTTCTCGAGATTTATACAGTATCACTTGCAATACAAAAGACCAAAGTAAACTAATTAAAACCAAAATGGTGCGAGGAGTAAACACGCAAACAAAATTTGATTCTTTACATGTAATAGATCTTGGAACGTTCCCATAATGCAATTGCATATATCCAAACGGCATGACAAGAAGCGCCATTTCTTGTAAATGCATGGAGTCTGTGTAAAATAAATTGACAACTGTAATAAACGTCTGGGAGGCCGTTGAATTTAGAGATAGTGTTTACAAGCCCCCAGTCATAGCATGGAACACCTACTTTTAACTCTTCTCCACTTACACAATTTTAAATTCTGTTGTAAGAAATGTATACGGTTGTATTTCTAAATTTACATGTGTCAAAACAATGATTCTACCATCTGAAGATCTCAGATAAGAGCCCCGATGTTGTCCATCAAACTTAACTACAAAACTACCTCTGTAGTCAGGATTCTTCTTATGTTCGATGTTGTATCATTGTTCAAAACAGTGATGAGCTTACTCGCTTGTATTTTATACCACCAGCTTTGTATATAAGATTACTATCTATCTTGTATTTTACTTTGAATGTGTGAACTGCCTCGGGAAAAGTAACCTTTGGCCTAAATCTTGAACAGACTCTCAGTCGAGTACTGAATGGTCGATATTCATCAAAATTGTAGGAGAAAATCAAAGTCTGGTTCTAACTGCTTACATTGATTGTCAGCGTGAAGTTTGATAGATATAAAAAGAGGGTTAATCCATCATTAACATCCTCCTATATTGATGAAAAAATCGTAAATTAATCAAAATGCAATAGCAAGTTAACGAATATTTTACTCTTATTCACACTTCTAATATCTCATTAAAGGGTCGTGTTTCAATCTCAATTTACATAGCAAATGAGCAATCACTTTGGAGATGATCGCCATCCGCCTGATCATGACATGACGTACACCTGGCGATGATGCAGGAATCTAGATTGGACAATTAAAAGGATAATATGGTCCTAATATCCAAGGCACTAGCATGCTCGTACTTCCAATCGTTCAGGTACTGAAACTATTTTCATGTAGCAAGATGGATATCAAGTCTGCTCACTGTCACTGTCTTTTAAGAAATAAATAAAAAGCTTGGTTAAATTTATTTTTGATAGAGGCGAGATGCGTGGGTCGTTAATCAAAGGGGAACATCATGTACTAGTTGACTTGAATTCAGAAGTTAAGAAAGATAATTATGTCAAAATGTTTCCCTCGGTGACAATATTAACAAAAAATAACTTTACACATCTATCTTCATTGGTGTAATGAATAAGTGGTTATTTGTCAGAGGCACAATGGATCACATCCCTACTTTGTACATATAATAGCGCCATATGACACAAACAAACTAGTTCCTTGTACAGAAGGGACTGATGTATTCATAAGGTATCAAATTGAGCAAATTCCGACGTCCCTGTTATTCAGTGAAAGTGTTTAAATGAGAGATAGTATCGGGATTATACTATGATTAACCAGTTGTGAATGGATCTTGACACGATGCAGTTATTTAACTACGTGACCAAATCAAAAGAGTGACTCTCTATAGTTCATTTGGTGATAAATTCCGCAATGAATACCCGAACAAGCACCTTCTTCAGCCCGTCTCTAATTAATGAGAATTAAAAGTGAAGTGAATGAGATGACAGCCATGACAAATTCAATTGGATGGACGATTGGTAATATACATGGAGCAAGGTACTCGACTTCGGAGTCATTTGCTATATTACTTTATGATAGAGTACCATAAAATATATGATGATTAACGTGTCACTAATTAGGCAAAAATCACCTACCTTTACGAATAACTGAAGCATGGTCGCTGTGTATAAAGTTTCCGCTCTCATCTACGGATCCCTAAGAACAAAGAGAAAACAGGAAATCCATTAGACCGTTTTTCTTACATTTCCAAATTAGGTCTCTAATATCTATTAATGTCGTATGTAATGTTACCGTTATAGAAAAGCATATATCAATTCACAAATTGAAGATGGAATAATGTTGCTGTCTTCATTTGTATAATTGGCAATTTTAGAATATTAGTTACATTTTCTGTGTTCTCCGGTGTATCGTGAGATGTTCAGAATACAAGAAAATTATAATACCAAGGATTTCTCATTTGCGTTTGTTTTCGTTCAAAAACTTGTAATTTTAGTGTGATTTTGTCATTAAACAGATCGCTGTGAGACAATTCAGGTGATTTTCGGCATCGACCTTGGTTGGATTGGCAAATGAACGAGGTTAGCAATGGACAGATATGATGGTGTTATATTGCAACTAGCCTTGCCCAAGTCGGTATTTTTTACTTATCTGATCTTGAATTATTACATAATCAAAATAAGTAAAAGAGCCCGACTTGGGCAAGGCTATATTGCAACTTATTTTAATACCGACTCACAAAAAATAGTGTATGATATTTTTTATGATTTCGTTATATTGTTTTAACAACAAAGATATTGTGACTCAAGACATTGGGGTCATTTTGGAGGCAGAGGGTGCGCAGGTCATGAGTATTTACAATAATGGAATACACAAAATAGAGATAACATCTTGTCTAAGAGGCTTCTAGAAAGTGATTGTCGGATTGAAATTCGTCAAATCTCTCGCATGACCGACTAAAGATGTGACCGTGCTATCGTGAAATCTACCCATGGATGCATTACCCCATGGTGCCTGTTTTTATCCAGGATCGTCTTTCTAAATTTGTATCAAATAAGAATCAGGGGGTAAAGTGTAAGAAGGATCACTGCATGTGGTCCAATATACAGTATTGTACTGTCCGCTATTACAGTTACAAACTAAACGGGTTCAAATTGGACAAACTTGTAACCAAATTCATAGATTACTATCATAGTACTAAATCAAAAATAAGAGTGATCAGTTTCCAATCTGTTTGGCTTGAGGTTTTTCGACCTGCACAGATGTGAAACAAGTTTAAAACAGAATGCTTGGTTTTTTGTTACACCTGAGTTCCTTCCGTGAGTTTATTAAAAGTATCTATGTTATGATCTTCCTTGTTATAATCTTATCATGCAACATATTTGCGAATCAAAACAGATCTTAACCTAAATCTAAATAATACACCGGTTTACACGTAACACTGTATTATATAAAGCATGTTTTGGGTCAAACATCACTAACGGCAATGAAAGTTAAATAGTGCATCGGGAATTATAGATTATTTGCTTGGTTTGATGGGAGAATAGAATGTCAGTCTCTAATGTGGAGGGGAAACCAGGATTCCCAAGTGTCTATTAAGTGAGAGGTAATTGAACAAAACCACTATATTAAATTCTAATTAATTTTCCGCAAGACAACACAATACTAAGGCAGAATCAAATGAGGGTGGTTAATTTAAGAGTTCATTGAGGATTGTTTGTAGTTTATGTAAATTAGGTATTTAATTGATATAAAATAATAAAGATGTGCTTATTTTCTCTTCAAAATAGAGAAGGTATTCCTAAGTATTTTCTAAACAAAATATACGTCATTATATATAGACCTAATTTATTTTGAAAACAATTAAAGCAATAATAAATAAATATGGTTCTTCAACATTGGGGACATTTTCATAAGCAATGGTTTGTTATGAAAAACAATCGATTAGGAAATCAGATATTTTACTTTCATTAATCCTTTTGTTATTTTGCTAAAACAATTCAAACCTGAATACATGTCACAATATATCTACATATAGTTTGATGTATTTTGTAACGATTTTAAGATACAAAAATACAGTTTCTTCGGAATGACACTATTGTTCTCTTACCAAGACGGTTCCACAATGTCTGATTCGCCATTCATGAATTTTGGCAGGAAAATATTAAGTATTTTCTTACAAAATAATCTACGCTTATGCAACGAGGCACTGAGACTACCTGAGAATGGTAGACGAATTTCTAAAATAAATATTATTATAAAATTTAAGAACCTTTTCTTAATGCACATTTCTAAACGTAAATATACTGATTTTATCCTATTTTTGCCTCTTTTCTTCTGGCCACAGACTATTTGGATTTATATGAACAATGGCTTGACTTTCTTATATTTGGTTAAGAATCAGAAATGTATTACAAAATTACTATGAAGTTTAAAAGGCCAATCGTTCTTTGAGAAAACAAGAAACATAAATATATACCTAAATTGTAATTCAAGTATATGAGCACATAACTCCCCTAATAAAAATCTCCATTGCGGCTTAAGTATCTCTCAGAATATCAAAAGATTTGATATATTAAAAAGTGAAAGAATTATATTTGGATTTGCAGTGTACCAAAGTAATTTAGTGAGGTTAAATACACAAAGAGTGTGAATAAAGAAACAAATTATTCAGTAAATTCTATAGGTTTGTTCCCATATTTATATAAGCCTTCACCAAAAACCAGCTGATGTTTGGGCGCTTTTCACAGTGATAAGAACTGTACAATTGGCACAGTTAATATTTCTAATAAGAACAAAAATTAAGGAATTCATGGATGACTTCAGTTTAAAACGAGGTCGTTGATCATTTCTTGATGACATCATCAATTCTTGGGCAGGTGTGCGATGATGTGAGAGAGCATATATTAGACAGCTAGCACGAGACTTCACAACCTGTGACTGCTCTGAAACTCGGCAATGTGGTATCAGGTGTTATATAGAACCCTGAATGCATTCCTTGTGATCGTGTCATACAACAGAGTCTTCTATCATAATATTCGGTGAATCTTCATTTGCAAAAAATGTAATGATAAAAGTTGGAATAAAATGCATCTTCATAAAATGAAAACTTAATCCAAAGCAACTGTCATAAAGTTCAATTTCATAATAAAAATGATCAAGATTATTATTAATGTATATATGCACCTTCATAGAAACTGGCATGTCAAAATATTAATTTAACACAATAAATCAAGAGTTTTATTAATGATCTGCCTATTTTGAAATTTATTAGTGACTAAATCTGAAAGAGAATAGATTGATATGGGGAGGGGACAGTCCTGTTTATCAAGCCATTACTCAGAGAGCCCCATTATAACCAATATTTGGGGGAGGAGAAGAATTTACATATTTGAAAGGTACTCAGAAACTGAAATGTTTAATTATAAATGAAGACTGTCTTAGTGCTATATTTCTAATAATTATGACTGGAATGTTTTATTAAGTCTATCCCAGAAATTGTAAATCTGCGAGATATACAAGAAATTGGGCTGGTGCTATTAAACAACTTTACTGATCAACATTTGTAGATTTTCACATATCCCAGGCCTCCATCTTCCCATATCAAATGATCATTACCCGCTGAGAAAGATAGCTCAACTTTGATCAGCGACTCAAGACTGATATCCGAGAACTTGTCCATGCACCTAGAATCTCGTAAGCATCCATATATCTTATCCACACGCAAAATGCACTGGTCAGTCTTATTTTGGGTGAAATTAATATTGGGAATTTTCAAAAGACAATGCTTGACTCTGGACATGTTTGTGGACCTGAATTAGAGCAATCGTGGCCTGGAGGTGAAGATTATGGGCTTGAGTGCTGGTTACAAGATGGGTGGGTGCAATGGGTGTGCGGGGAATATGTGGCATATTGGTGCTAATAGGCTCATTACTATATGCAATAAAGGTCGTGAGCCGCCCCTGGGGCAACTACTTTCTAAATGGATTAACGGGCACTTACTAATGACCGATTCCAAGCTTTTATTTGTGCCCCTAGACTGATGGACATCTCGTGATTGCTATCGGGGCATTTCACATTATTACCCCAATAAAATAATAAGTAATGACAAACTTAAACTTGCAAATTGAAGGGGTGTAAAATTAACATGTCTAGCCTAGTCCTAAAAACGTTTCAAGTTGATAAATAATTAACTTGAATATATTTCACTTTGATTATATTTTATTTTTAATTTTCCGAAATTATAAATCAACATTAAAGCGACCCTGTGTGAGGACAGTAATTAGATGACTATAAATTGGTAATTTTTCTCTATTAATTAGCACACAATGCGGACTAAATGCTGATGTAATTTACGGCGATCTACATGTTCACCATTATAAAGTAGACCACAGCTTGGACTGCGTTTAATCAGGTTTTTAACATTAACGTACTTCATTGAGAACATGTGTTTACGTTTAGATATGGTATTCTAAAATGACATTCTATGTCCTTATTTATAATCATGACAAAACTGGATATTATATCAATGTAAAACAAATGCATGGTTCAGATTATGTATAGTAAAATAATACTAATGTATTTTAATTAATTAAATTATGAATAAATATTTTCCATTCGTATTTTAATTTTAATTCAGTATCTAAAAATGGCTTAAGTAATCAATCCTAAAACAGCCAAAAATAATTAGCAAAAACTAAAATTATGAAAACAGTGAACGCCGATGGGGGTAAGGTTAGAAAGTACTTACTTTGAGTAATTTTCTGAGAAATTACTTTGGTTGAGATTTGAGAGTGAAAGCTGTCCATCTGTCTTGTGCTAATGAGTTGAGGAGGTTGATTAAAAGTAACAGCATTAGTATTTGCTGTACCATTTCAAGTCTTTAATTACTAACAGTAAAGGTGCTTTGGCTCATGAGAATTTTATGAGATATTAAACGATTCTCTATCTCAGAGAATCTTTATAAAATGTAGTTAAATGCATTAATAAATTAGGAATTGGGTTATTTTTGTGGTATTATAGTCTGATGTGGTTTTATGAGGGTTCTAGAAAAAGAAACAACCTTATTTTATCATTTATTTGGGTTTTTAAGTTGCACAGATCAGAAATACAACCAACCGAGATGAAACAAAAAAATTTCCACCATATTAATATTAATATTTTAACATATTGGCTGGAGAATTAATGGTTTAATTATTATATTTATACACAAATCTCATTCATTAATTACCATGATAAAATAAATGAGCGATAATAATTTCATTAGAATCCTAACAGAGAGATTTAAAGAATTTTTCATTTTTGTGACAGATTTGACTTCGACTTTTGGTGTTAAAATTGATTTTAACCGAAGGGGGTGGTTTGTAATACGGTAATTTGACGCACAAATACTGCTGTCTGATTCACGATTTCATGACTTTGAAAACAATTATAATTCAGTTGAAATTAATTACAAAATAAAGTAATAAATCTCACCACTAGTTGGTTGCCGTCATCCATGCCTGGAATTCCTCCGTGAAGGCTAAGTAGTCCTTCTGTGCCCATCTCGTGCCCACGGTGGACCAGCATCTCAGGCCGCCCCATCCCATACTCGCTCCGCCGTGTGTCGTAAGCACTGGGAAAGGAGGGATGCATGGCGTTATGTAGAGCGTCATCTCTGTGACGAAGTACATTTCTATCTGGGCCGTGTAATTGCTGATATTGCTGGTGAGGGAAACTGTTCAATGCTCCGTAAGGATCCGCTTGGTTCACATGATGATGGAATTCACCTTGTTGAGGCAGGAGGTTGTAATGAGGAGGGGGGAAATAGGGAGGCTGGAAATCCGTGGTCGGTGTGTGTGACAATCTTGGCGCAGATGAGAACGAACTACCTGTCGTACCTACGAGTGAACTGGACACTGAGGAGCCGAGCTGTCCCAAACTATGAGTGCGGTCCTGAAAATAAACAAAGAAATAACTTTAACACCAGCATCGAAACTTCTGTAAAAATCAACCACTTTACAAGATGGTTTAAATTATTACAACAAACATTGTGTGGTGAACATCGAACACCAACCTCCAACGATTCCATTAGAAGTACCATTGGTTTGTTTTCCTTAAAAATCCACAAAATAAAATTGAAAGTGCTCCGGGAGATCCTAGTAGTCCAGTGTTTACTCGTTTACTGATATGATAATTTATTCAAGTTGAATCACAATTGCGATTGAGAATCCGTGGTCCGTTGTGGTGACTCAGTGTGAGTATAAGGTAATGTAAGGTGGGGCGACCAAGCATGGAGATATGTCGTAAATATAGCTGGTTCACCCAACGCATGCCCTGGTGGTGACGTCCCGGAAACATCACGTTAACTCAGAGCAAATCTTTCAACTGCACAATCTGATCAACTGGGGACTTCATCATGAAGACCTTCATAATAGACACTTATTACTTAAACTTTTCTCGCAGCCATCGTGGCCTGATTTGAACGTATTTTCCTATTTATCCTCGGGCCTGAAAATGTAAACATTAAACACAAACTGCGTAACCGAGCGATATGAAGAAAAATGGCGAGCTAAGTTTTGTATATTCGATAAAAATCGCCAAACTAGGGCATGTTTTTAGCTTCACCTCTGACTCGACGATTCCGAAAGCTGATGGCATCTCTCCGTGTCTTCGATAGTAGGCTAGTGCCGGGGGGACGTACACCGACTCTTCTTCGCTGTCTGATAACTTTCGCTTAAGTGTTGCCCGGTTGTGGGCAAGATTAACACTGACTTGGGTCGCCATGCCATGTACGGTTGCCTCTGGCCCTTTCTTCCGTCTCAGATCCGCAAAATCTCAGATAAAAGTCAATATGTCCAAAGGCGGTGATCATTTAATTAATGTTGCATAGTGTACTGATGTCAATTATCCGCACATCACGCTCGCTGATTGGTCGACGAGGTATCACGTAGCTGCTGAATCCGTGCTCTCCAATTCCACTCTCGCTAGAATGTGACCAGCCTCCGGCAAATACTAGCTATACTAAAGCCTCTGTATTGGTTAACAAACCCTTTTATGTGGACACCAAAATCTACCAAAAGCTCAACAACACTTCATTTCACAGCAAATAGGAGATTATTAAAGAATCTCTATACCGGTGGGGATCGTATTCTGGGGGCACCCCGGGGAGGTACTAGCGGTATTGACTTTGATGTCCCTGTGCCCGACCCTCTTGCCACACTAACACACACTGGCCACTGTTTCTCGCAAATCACCTGGAAATTTTCTTTATCCAGAAACATGAAATTTAGGCATTTATTTGCACTTCCTTTTCTCCAGTTTTTAGCCACATTTAGATGAAGGTTTATTAGATCGATGTTTAGTTGATGATTGATGCTCGGTACAAATATTATCTATTCAGTTGGTTTGAAAAGACCATCCAATCAATAGTCCTGTATAAACACTAAGGTGTGTTCTGTGTTTATTTTAAAAGAAATGCCAGTTTAGCTTTTCAAATCCCCCATACAAACTCGATATTAATTTTATTATCGAGGCGGAGCACAATGTTTTAATAAGAATTTTTTCTTTGGCATTTAATCCTTGAATGAATGTAA